CCTAATTCAATTCAAACCAAACCCCATAATCATCTAGCAAAAAACCAATGCTTCCAATTATACTAGTCAAGAAAATCAACAAAAGCATGAAGTGAATTCAAGATCAACAAAAAATGAATATGTAGTAGACAAGCCAATTTTGCAAACTCTTCCTCGTTGCCACCAATATTGCAAGTTTACTTGCGTTATATACAACCCACAGTTTCAGAATTATAAAGCTAGGATAACAATATGAACTTAAATCCAAGATAAACAAGAAACTTTCAAATTTTAATCTAATGTAAAAAGGAATGGGGACTTTCCATCAACATTTATCTTCCATTCTATACAACCTCCAATGTAAGTTGGTTTCTTTGGATGTGTTACGAGTCTTATGACCGAGGAGAGCAGCCTGCCTGCACCTTATGACAGACAAACTGAAGCTAAAATTTAGAAGTATTTCTGTTCTAAGACTTCATAAGGTTGGTCAATAATGATGAAGATAAGTAAGGAAGTGCACTAAAATGATCGAGTCCATAGATATACAAATGCCAAACTTAAGAAAGATACAAGAAACTTCAGTACAAATTCCTCTATTAGGATTTCATCAAAACTGCAGATTGGAGAGGCAGGGTGTAAAAAGGCTTGAAACCAATTGTGTTTAAAACGTCTAATGAAAATATAGAAATAGAAAATGAAGTTTAGCTTACAAGATAAGTAGAAATGGAAAATGACGTGTACTTCACCAAGCAAATGCTCCTTTATACTCCTATGAAAATAGATAATATAGGAGTGCCGCAATCAGGTTGCACAAGTGGGCACTATATGTTGGGAAAATAGGTTTTCCCACAAGTGTAAATCAATGGAAGCAATATAAATAAAATAACAGAAAATAAATAAGCACACAAGATTTACGTGGTTCCCTCAAATAACTTGAGGTACATCCACGACGACCGGTAGGTCAGTTTCTTCCACTATCACCAAATCAGATTACAAAGTGGCCAAAAGGCATAAGCCTTACAAACACACCAAGGTGTAAATCACAAGAGGAAAATACCTCACAAAATAAGTGAACCAAATCTCCAAGAACAAACCGCAAGAAACCCAAATATCAAGT